CATTTTATACAATTGAAACAAACATCAACAGTCATGCGGAGCGGGCTCGTGTCGACTGTCGCGCGCCACTTTCGAGCTCGCTAATTCTCCGCTCGCTTTATAAAACGTAGGAACAGGCGACCACAACTTCGCGGTCGTATTAAGTACATTTGTTTTCGGTTATAGATGTTCATACCGTTCCGAATGGACAACCAAAATTAACTCATCCGATAACATCCCGGATCGAGGGCATCAGAAGACAGGAAGCCGTAACTCGACTCACTTGCGCGTCGACGTTCGTACGTTCGAACTGAACATCGATCGAGGCATCAGGTTAAGACAGAAAGGTTAACTTCGACTCACTTGCGTCCCGACGTTCATTAACGTGCACTCGCACTCACTTGCGTCGAACCGTCATACCGTGCACTGCACTGGTGCAAAAAATTCCTGCGGGGTGTCCTTAATGTCGTGTCACATACCTTGCACGTTCTTACAAACATACCTTGGCACGTAAGCTTTTTGCGTGACTCGCCCGCCGACAAGATTGGTGTGACTCTATGTGAGTTTTTTGTATAAAACACCAATAGTGTTGACTGAAAAGTCTTTACTCCCAAATTCAATCAATCTGTCATTCGTTGGTACCTATCGTTGGAATTCAAAATCGCTATACGTCGTTATTCCTTGTTTCCTGAAACACGCTTTACTCCTAAATACAATCAATCTGTGATTTGTTGTACCTATGGTAGAGATTCAAAATTTCGCCGAAGCCGTATGCAGGTGTACAATGTGAGTTCCAATCGCATTGCGCCACCCATCAGTCCATTTTACCATCTATTTAATTGTAATACATGTTTTAAAATGATGCCGAAGTAACAACATACTGATACCCGTTAGTAAAAACCATGAATTAATGCTTTGACAAGTCTGCAGACAAGACGGCAGGCGAAAAACCTTTTAAAATGCGTGTTGTCTGAATGGAGATTGGCTAAGCTAACGCTGTATATGCTCCGACCGTCCACACTCACAACAAAGTCCTATACAGACATAAATAAACCAGCGACTGTATTCGCCATGACACAGACAGTCTGTGGTTTGTACTTGTTTAACTTTTGTCTAGTTCCTGAACAGATATGAGGAGCTGTGAGCTCTGAGAGCTAACAGCTAACGGCTGATGTTGGTTTTGTGTTTCGCATTGAAGATGACGTCACGGCTCCGCCTACACTGCGTTACTATAGTTACTACCCCAGCTACTAAACTGTAAAGGAAACGCAGCATAAAGTGAGCCTGGCCTACCAAGGCCTAACTATACCGTACTAAGCCGTGTGAGGCCCTGCAGTGGAAATGCGCCATAAGTGAGTACAAAATACTCACTAAGTATTACCTTTGAAGTTGATTTGGCACAAGTCTCTCCATTGTAGTCCTTTGTTTATTTCCGTAACAAAGTGACAACACTACGTGCTTCTATTGGCTAGCGCTCCAACACATTTTACGTGATAGGCGAAGGGGACATCTCTAAGCGGTTGACCAATCACAACAGAGCCGTCCAGCTAACCAATCAGAGAAGACTGGACTCTGGTTTCAGACAGAGGGTGAAAAGAGGTGCTGCAGCACAGGTAGTATGAGAAAAATAAAGAGCTTTTTGAACATTAAAGCATGTAAACATTTCACAGTAGAGACACAAATTACAATTATGAAACCTGAAAATGTGCATAATAGGGCCCCTTTAATTAATTTGAAATGGTGTTGGCGTCCACCTGACAAATCTGCTTTTTGTTCGGTTTTTGGTGTCCACCAAGGGAAATATCTTGCCCTTTAGATGCTAACTTGTCACTAACTTCATAACTGTTGGCTGTTACAGACCTGTGGAGAAGGGACAGATGTTGTGGGAAAACGACGATGCGACAGCACAGAGGCATGCTGGGTAAAGAGTCCAGCAGAAGAACTGCAGCAGACTGTTGCCCTCCAGCTTCATGTAAAGCCCCCGGTGAGCTACAAATAGAGTGAAAGACAAACATTTATATGACAAGTGTGTTGCTCATTCATTTATATTGTCTCCAGTAATTGAGTGCATGTGTGTGTACCTGTCAGCAGTTTTGTCACGCTGAGGTCCATCAGAAAGCTGAGGATGGCAGTGAAAACACCTAGAGCAGCGTAGCCATACCACTCTATCCCACACACTGCTCCCAGACAACACCTCAGCTTCAACAGCCACTCTAAGTACACACACACATATTGGTTAGTCTTCCTAAAGTTTTATTTGTGAGGCATGCAAATATAACAATCAAGTGAAAAACCATGTATAGAGATGTATTCAAAACGACTATGTAGAACTTGATTTTGTAAACCCAAGCAAGAGCATTGTACCAAGTTAATTGTATCTAGTGGAAAGGGGCTTCAAGAATGTATGTATATACATTTTCAATATGGACGCAAATATCAATACAAATATAAACAAGCAGCCCCTAATTGGAAATATCTGCTAAAATGTTTTAACACGTATGAAATGGAAATACAGCATATGTGTAGTCATGCATTTGTATTGAATTTGAAAGACAAAGGCTCTACGTATTGAGAAAAAACGGTCACGGTCTGTCCTAAGCTCTTCATTTCATTAGCATTTCCATATCCTAGAAGTCTTGTAGCACATTGACTGCTATGTTCCTGAACTCATCAGTAATATATGAATCATGTCTTTAAGGTCAAACAATATCACAAGAAGATGACATGGAAAAAGCTCCTCTATAGTGCATTGATTGGGTCAGCATTGATCCTGTTTAAATGGTTTTCCACTTTGGTCTGACCTTTGGCAGTAGCGCGGGACCGTCGGCATGGTTTCCATGGATCAGCAAGGAGCGGACTCTTATTATGGGATGTTTCTGATTGACTTTCTCGCTCCCTGTTCTCTCCGATGATTTCACTCCCAGGAGCCTCATCCAGGCTTTTCATTTTGTTTTGAAGTGTTGTTCTAATTGTTTGAAGAATAAGGGCTAAATCAAACAATGATTCAATGATAATAGGGAAAAAAATTAATGCAAAATAACTACTTCACGCGTATTTTTATAAAAAAGAGGCAAACTCACCTTCTGTTTGGAATGAAAGTGTTTTTTCTGTCCGCATGTGTTCCCGTAGATAGGTGTACCTCCACTGACCTCTGTTCAGGTATTAGCATATAAGGGATGGAACAGTCACAGTTGACAGGGTAGCTAATATTAACTCTTTGGAGGAACAAGTGCCCTTCATCTGTCTTTATTGTGGAAAAGCATTTTGAGAAACATTTTCATGCTACTCAGCATTTTAATAGGATTTACGGTGGTGTTATCAACCATACTGCAGAAAAATAAATAAATAATCCCATAAAAGCTGTTCCAATTTATCTCATGAGACACCAGAACAGGTTTAAATACTGGTGATTATAATGATTTTATATCTGTTTTGTTACAGTAAGAAATATTTGTGGACAGATGTAACCCAAAGGACAGAAACAAATTGATAACAGACACCCAGTTATTTGTAGATATATACCCAGTAAAATATGGATGTATGAAGGGAAAAACATCAAATGGCAGCTGCCCAATGTCCCTGTTCAGCTGCAAAGGGTAAATTATGATTTATAGTTCCTACACAGATCATATATTTACCATATTTACCATATGCCCCTCGAAAGGCCAACAAGCCGCCTTTTTATTTCAGTTTGAAATAGATTTTTTAATATCATAAATAACATAAAACTAATAACCTCTTTTCAGAAGCTATTTGTTTTTTCAAGGTTGGTGTGGTTGTTTGTCTTTATAGAAAATACCTTGTGACTTTTCATGTTTCTTCGCTTCCCCAGCATGTAAACAAAGACCCTCCTCTGGGGTCCGACCACGGTTTAAGAACCACTGTACTAACCAGATAATCATACAGTAGGTAACTTAAACCTGCAATAATTAAGTCCATGGCCACTAGGGAGCAGCAAAATGAAATTTGACTCTAAAATACCTGTTGAGTTGATATGGCTAACATCCATCATTAAACGAGCATCATTATGATGAATTTAAGTCGTGTTTTGTTCACGTGCTGAATGTAAGTCCAACACTATAAATCTTTTAGCTTCTCTTTTTCGTCTATATTCAAACACCTGAGGGGAATTACTTTCTTCAGCTGCCAAATGCTCCACTATACTAACCAGCTACTGAACCAAAACAGAATAGTTGTAGATAGCTGAAAAGATATTAAGAATCTCCCTTAAGCCAAGGGGAGCTGAAGAATTAGGCATTACATATTGAGAACACCTAATTTAAAGTTGCATTTAGAGAGTTTTCCTTTTTTGAATGAACCAACCAAAGGCGCGGGAAGGTATTTTGAGTGGGGGTGCTGAGGTGCTGGACTCCAGTGAACACTATTACAGGCACTATAGAGCACGCACAAAAGCGCGAGCATCAGGGGCGCTACAGTGGAATGTTCTACTGCAACAATCCCCACACGCAAACACACAGTACACCCGCAACTTTTACAATGAATGCTCGATAATCAGCTCATGGCATATAAGCAGGGGTAAAGTGCTATTCTTTACGAGTGGGGAGCGGACCTTAACCTCCTCTAGGGGGGTCCGGGGGGATGCTCCCCCGGGAAATTTTTTTTTTAAATATTGAAGTTAAAAGCATCAATCTGGTGCACTTTGAGAGCAACATTAAGAGATCTATGGATACATCTCTCAACATCCATATGAAACACAACTGTAATCAGATGTTCTTTTTCTTTATGGATATTTTACAAATCACTCCCCTTTCAAACTGTATTCTTGTTTTACTGCCATATAGTATTTCATAACTGTTTTTCCTTTGTTCTCTTATTTTTTTTATAATGATAATGATCATATGAAGGTGTGCCGCAGAAATAATCTTTTGAATAATTTGTGACCAAACCGTTTGAGACCCACTGAGATAACTTAGACTAAAGTTAACAATCTAAACACTCAGAGAGTCCTTTAGCTCATCTGAGCCTCTCAGTCTGAGAGGAGAGGACTCTCCTGCAGCTTGTTGTGGAAACAGCTCCTTATGTCCGTTAGTGCAGCTAGCTAACCAGATGCTAACAACACGGTCCCTGCTGGCACCGGTCCCTCTCTCCCCCTCTCTATCACACTAAATGCGCTATTGCCACACACACACAGCCGAGCTTGAATGACACAAGCACACATTTATTTCCATGCAACTCTCTGATTGGTCTGGTGTCTTGCCTCTGTTGCATTCACTGAACACGGGAAATTACAGTCCTGCCGTCCTCTCTAGTGTCTTGATGAGGTTCACGTAAAGCACGGTTAATGTATTATATTATTGAGGTAGAATTGTCCGGGGCTACAGAAAAAACATTCGGGGCAGGCCAAAATATTATTTTACCAACAATGTGGANTAGGTTCTTTCCGGGCCAACAACCGGGCTGAGTATGCTAAACTAGTGAGAGAATCGCTGGAAACTACAACAAAATGAACATATTTGACCGTTATTTAATTGTAAAATTAAATAACGGTCAAATATGTTCATTTTGTTGTAGTTTCCAGCGATTCTCTCACTAGTTTAGCATACTCAGCCCGGTTGTTGGCCCGGAAAGAACCTACATTTTGTGGCGCATTTCCACTACAGCGGGGACCGCGGTTTAAGCGTGCCGTACCGTGCCCGGCCCGTATTTGGTTGCGTTTCCACTAGGCGTAGTTCCGGCTAGTGGAAACGGATGTTTCGTATTGAAGATGATGTCACGGCTCCGCCTAGACTGCGTTACTATAGTTACTATAAAATGAATTGCATTTTGTCAACACAGCAAAACAAATCCCTATGAACAGCTGATTTATCATATGTATAATCTGTGAATATCCTTCCTTTTGACTCAAGTTGTGTTGCATCACTAAATCATTAAAGAGAAATAAAATGGAGGCAGTTTCTTCTTTAGCTGCCTTTTTTCACATCTTCTTCTAAAATGCCAACTGCAACTTCTAAAGTTTTGTGCTATTGAATTTGTTTTCTTAAAATAAGCCACCCCGTAGCCCATCTTTAACTAGTTATTTAATATCTAGGCTACTGCCAGATTGTGTACGTCCTGATTTGATTGGTTCCATTAATGTAGAGACATGTATCATGTTGTTAATGAGTCCTAAGGTATCTGACCACCAAGTAGCAATATAGAATTACAAGAGTTGAGAACTGAACACTAATATGACAAAAATAATAATGTTAAACAATCCTGTATTATGATCTCTGGGTGAAAATTCCCAACCAACGTTGTTCCAAGAAATTTGATTTGTGTCCTACCGGAATCCTGACTGGACTTGGACTCAGAGAGGCTGACGGCAGAGGCGTCTCGTGATTGGTCGATCATACCGATGTTCACCTTGTGCTTGTAAGGGTCCAGAGCTCCGAGAAGACCCAGTACACGGATAGCCTGTCGGACACAAAGAAAATATGTATTTAATTAAAAACAAGAGTAAGAGTGCCATTAAGTCCTTGTAGCTCTGGAGCTCTGTTGAAGTAGCATATTAAGCCACTCATTGGCAAAGTGGGTATCAGATGTAACAAAGAAAATGTGGTTTAGGAAGCCCCCTTGGATGTTCTTGAATGATGGACAATTATTTAGAAAGTATCAAAATCAAAGCAAGAGAAGAAGAGATAATGATTTTTCTATTCCACAAATTGTTTCCTTTTGCTTAATCCTGGTGTGTACATGGCACCATTTGTATGTTACAAGGTTTTTGTCCCCATGCAATCTGGAGTAAATGCTGTCAACTGTAGAGTAGTCAGCAAGTAGTATTTGATATTCAAACTCGATTTTGAGTGGGGTATTTCTTTAAGGAAATATGAAAACACACAAAAGTACTCAAATTAGTTTGAAGTAACCATCTTTTTAGTACCAAAACACTCAAGGTAAATGATTGGCTTATGAAAAATGGTCGCCTTAAAATCGAAAGGTTCCTGGTTCCATTACCAGCTCCTCAAAAGAGAAACCATGTGTCTTTGAGCAAGACTTCTCCTGTGACGCAGAACTTATGAAGGTAGATATGGTGCAAAATGCGAGAGCGTGTAAAACCTGATGTGAGCACTTGCAGAAAAAAAATCTGAGCTTGTGTGCATACATTTACACTTGTATAAAATATCCACGTATCTGTGAAACAAATTTGAAGTCACAGAAGAAGAAGAAAACGTTTTGTAGCTTGTAGAAAAAAAAGGAACTTAGTGATGAAATGTTCACTTGCAGAAAAATATATATTTTTTAAATATATTTTCCATTACAACTGCAACTTGGTTTTTACAACCTTTCAAATCAGTCATTACATCTTCACGAATCTGCTCTGTGGCAGTATAAATCGACGATTCTGCGGTCTTGACTTTTGCTACACTTCTTGGGATAAATGTGTCGCAAAAGTAATTTTCACCTGTAGATGGGGTGGGGGGAGGGAGGGGGGTTGGAGCGAAGGGGCGGAGCTATCAGAACGACGAGACTCGGGTGACTGGAGACTGCGGGG